AACGGTGACGACGAAGGAACAACACACGGTGGACAAAGTCAGTTGAAGAAAGATATATGTAGGTGCAGCACTTTGAGTACCAGGAGACTAATGGCATATCTTCCAATGAACTACAAATTCGTTAAAATATCAGCTAAATGTAAAAACTTGCGAGCCCGTGGATGATAGCCATTCGTTTACAATTAAGAATGTAAGCATTCAATTAGAAAAAGGATCAACGGGGAACACGGTTACGTAAGTAATTTAGCAATTGCACTTATGTGAGCACTATGTATGAGCTAAGAGGAGATCACGTGACCCAATTTAAAAAAATTGCGGCTTCGGTCTATGTCGAACCAACACAATAGGGAAGGATTTTGCGCAGCCAACACTCTACCATTGAGGTACGAAGCCCACCATGCACCGTGAATTTAAACATTTTTTCATCAGTTTTACGCGCCCAACCATACAGGCAGTAAGGTTTGTGGATAAAATTGATCCAATTGTGATTAAATTCATGGTGCACGTTGAGCCGCGTAGATCGATGGTGGAGCGTTGGCTGCACAAAATCCTCCCCTGTTGTGTGGGTTCGAATACCACCGAAGCTGCAGTTTTCACAGTTGGTTCGCATAAATTAAACGAATCTGCGAAACTTCCCTAACAACTAAAAATTGTTTGGCAGAGGGTTGCTTAAGTATAATCCATCAATAAAGTGAAAATTACTCATAATGCCCTTGTTACAGATATGTATAATTTAAGTGTAAAAATGAAGTTTAAATGTAACCCAGAATTTAGAAATCGATACTTTCTCAGACAGCGCCCCTGAACTGAGGAAAATATGAAAGAACCCATAGTGTCCAGTCTTAAAGTCCCACTCGCAACTGTCCATAGTATTTTTCCCACTCCTGTTTCTGTCTAATGCCACTAAGGACGTTATCGAGAGGCCCGCCGAAGAACAAAGAAAGTACTGAGGATGTGGTCCAGAAGTTTGTATTTTGAGAGTAAAAGGTGTATGTGTAGATTTAAAACAAGTTTTTGAATATTCTTCGGACCCAAGATTGGAAACCTCAGATGTGGTTAGACAGATCCTATTCAGCGGCGTCCAGCTGCTAAGGGAAAGAATATATAAATAAATTGGGGTAAAAAAAATGAGTACATGAACAAGAATCTTCAAATTTCGCGGTAAAGACTTATAAATGTTAACTTTGCGAAGCCATGATTTATTCTTTGCAGACAGCGGTAATAAGTGAATTACTAACAATGAAAAGTAATTAAAGGTATATTTTTCCAAGCATTGACTGATATTCTTTTTGAGTCAATGAAAATATGAATTGTATATTCAAGATATAGTAAATTTGATTCAAAATTTATTGATTTATTCTTCAAAATGCTATGCACATCATTGGAAGAACAGCAAGAGCACTGTTAATAAATTAATATCTAAAGACAGGCTGTGAATATTAAAAAGGTGACAAAACAAACATAATCCTATGTATTTGATGGTTTAGCCCAAGATGCAAGCTGATGCTTACCTGAGCAGCAGCGCTCTACAAGTAAAAATCGAATTTTTTGTTTGCTAAGACTAGGTGACTTTATTCTCCAAACAACTGATGTTCGAAATTGAAACCTGAACACAATTTACTACCGTTGGTGCAATATATATAATGCTTACTCGGTGATTTGCCGTAAGCGGGTGATCTGCCGGGTGTGGGTTTCTTGCCTGAAAAACAGCAATGTTCAAAGTTTCAAAAAAACCGTGTTTTTCGCGGACAAAAGACACAAAATGCATGTACATATATATGTTGAATAACTGATAGGCAATTACCCCTGGACTTGCGCGCCCAGTAGCATTCCTCGTAGTCGCTGTCAGAGTCAGAGGATGAACTGCTGTCCGACGATGAAGATGATGACGAAGAAGACGATGAGGATGAGGAAGATGACGAGGAGGAGGATGAAGATGTGTACCCATCACCTGAAATAGACGTGGACATTTTTTGTTATTAAAAATCCTTTGAATTTATGCACAAATTGCTTAATTTTACATTCCCTGAACACTTACAGTCGTATTCTGCGGGCTGCCTGGCCATCATCTTTCTCTGCGCGGCCCGTGCTGCAATAGCATCTATGAAATTAAAAAAAATTAAAACGGCGCACATGAAGCCTTGCTTTTGGTTAAGTCAATGGTGTTGCAGTTTAGGGAATAAAATAACAACAAAATTTAGCATTGTTATAGCGTATTTTTACATACCACTGCCCTTCTTCTTCCAGCTGCGGGCGATAATTATCTTTTCTTCTCCACAATTTGGATCACAAGCCTTGTTCACTGTTAGATAGGCATATCAGAATAAAAGAGACTTCGTTGTAATCTGGACTTTAGAGACGAGTGCAAAGCTAGCATCAATAATAAAAGCAAACTGACCGACTGGGGCCTTATTCCAGTAGCGTTCCACCGTAATCTTCTCCTCACCATCGTCGGACTCATCGCATGAATCTGCAAGACGGAACTTGTGCATAATTTTTCAAGTATCCCATAAGGCAAAAGTTAAATTTTGTTTTATATACACTTATACTTACCAACGTAAGCCTGCTTGGGATAGGGCTTTTCTACAAAGGTTAAAAGTGCCTTTAAAGACCAAGCTGGTAAAAGTTCAGTTCTGCAGAGGTTGCGCTCAAAGCAAGCATTCAGCACACAGATCAGCGGCCATTATTTGCAAATGTTATTTAAAGCGAGACTTCCGCAATTCATTTTACCTTCACGTCTGTTGGTCCTTGGTCGTTGATTTTCTATAGTTGAATGTCAGCATATTTTTAAACTGTAATAATATTATAAGGTCATTTTCCGTTTCCTTAACCTTAAGGCATATTCAAGATTGACAGGCGCCTGTCTGTCTTATCATATAAATGTTTACTGAATATTATGGTCAGCGCATGCCGTGACCCATATGGAAATTTAAAAAGCTCTGACTTTGCCGATTCATTGCAACAATAGAAGAGCATAAAAAAAGCGAACTTACGATAGCGAGGCATTGTAGGTCTGTACTGTCGGGTTCTAAAACGGTGGAAATTTGGCGGATGTTGATAAGATCCATTGTTGCGCTTTTTTATACCTGAATGGAGGTCCAATCCGCTCTTAGATGATCGTACTCAATTAAGCCCGATAGGTATGAGCCAACGCTTGAGGCATGAGTGCACAGTCTTGGGCTGCCGGTGTAGTCTTGTTACGAGAGCGAAAATAAATCAATTATATTGGCCCAATCAACAATCAGTAGCGTACCCTGTATGTTTTGCGCATCAACTCTGACCACAATGCCATGCTACTTTGACGACAAGATTTTTTTTGGGTAAAACCCCTTCTTTTACAAATGCGTACCAAATTGTTGGCGTTTTTCCTATGAGATAAAAAATTTGCCAAAATGGAGCAATTTTTTAAATCACGGGTTCATTTCCCAGTCCAATACTAGGCTTACTGCCTTGTGAGCAAAACACATGAAATATGGCAACAGTATTTGAAGCAGTGTTCTCCATATACCCTTGATCCCAGCATTGTGTCCTGCGGAAACCGTGGTTATAGAGGTTTGAGAGTGGGAATGTCGGACAGGCAGTGCAATATAATCATATAATGGCTATATGCATTTTTATTTTATAGTAGTAAGAAAGCTTGTTGATTAATATCTGTTGATTTTCTCAATATGTATTGGCGCTTAA